GTCTTACAGTGGAACGCGTAACGTTGACCCGAATCAATCGGGGTGTCGATCGGGTAGAGACTTCGTTGACCATCTCTTCACACCGTCAGATGTTGCAACAATGCCACATGTACAGACGACCCACGATCTTGATGTTCCCTGACTTCAGGAGCGCGTCAGATTCTGTCGATCGTGCTGTTAACCACACTTGTTCAACAGGGCACATCCCAGAAGTGTATGAACATAATCCGACCCCTATGCTCGCATAACCTTGGGCGGGTGAGTGTACGGAAGTTTACCTACAAAAGTGGCGTCCGACAAGGATGTCCACTCTCTCTTTCTTGTTTAACTTCATCATTGATGAACTAATGAGGCGGACGCTGGAAAGTCTTCAAAACCCCGGTTTTCAAACTGTTGCCGGTGAGAGCCTCATCGACCTGGAGTACGCATCTGACATTCCTTTCATTTTCGAAAACCAAAGAGCCCTGTTGAGTAGACTGACCACTATCTAACCATTTTTGGCACTCACCTTGCACCTTCAAAATGCGAAGTCATGCTTCAGAACGTGCAGTCTCTGAACACATTTAGTACATTCAAGAAGTCATGCTTCAGAACGTGCAGTCTCTGAACACATTTAGTACAATTCAAGAAGAATCACTACAGATTGTGGAAAATTTTAAATACCTACATACCTGCTTTACCTACACACATCGATACATACGCGCTAAGCAGAAAAACGAGCATTTGGTTGTACACCAAGTACTTCAACCTCGAAAAACACCCAGCACCATCAGCTCTGGTGACAGCTACCACCACTACGCGGTTCTTACAGCTACGGCAGCTCAGCCGAAACACTATCTACCGAGACGAGGGTTGTTCTCTATGCTTAATTCAGAATGGCTGAACCGCAAGGTGGACAACACATAACTTAGCAGAAGGATGTGAGAGATTAGGAAGAGTTTGGGTGTTGTACGCCTTCCAGGATGGGGTTCCCGTGATCCCTCCTACGCTTGGCTGGAAACATTGCAAGAAATGACGGCTGATCTTGTTGTCAGTTTCTCTTCAGATTGTCCGACTGAGCGCTTGGAGTTGTAGGCACCTTAGAATACTTGACGTAGATCAACACGAGGTATCCTCCCTCACTCATTCTTTTCCTCTTCTTTTCAATATACAGCTTTAAGTATAATTAGATCAAATATATGGTTGTACGGCAGTGAATCACCAGTGTCAACATGATGTTGGTGTCTCTGACTATGGTGAAATATGGACATGCTCGTCACCTGGAGGAAACAATTTAATGCATTCATACTCGGAGGATAGTACGATTTTACCTCCAGATCGCCTGGCAATACGATTATTCGCAGTACGAGGACTCACTGTTCTTCGTGGCAATACGATTACTCGCAGTACGAGGACTCACTGTTCTTCGCTGGGCTGCTCCCAGTTGGCCTTCTTGGCATGGGTGAACCCCTAAGAACTTAGTTCCAGCCAGCATGGCCCACAGGATCATTGCACTACAAAAGACCGACCGCCACGACAAGGTGAAACATTTAGGTTGGGGTAGGAAAATATCACATCCTAGAGTGGCGTTTACCGCCGTTTCTCCAAACCTTATAATCTCGAGGAAAATGAAATATAGAACAGGCAAGAAACTCACTGATTGTCACTCAGAAGAAAACATTCCACAGCTGCACGCAAAGCTGGTTTTCTAATACGCTGGGAAGAAAAGCACGCTTGGTGGTGAAACAACGGTTCTCACCTGGTTGAAACAGGCTTGTGGTTCAGGAACTAAAAGACAGTGAAGTGGAGTGAAGGGACTGATATTGGCTATCAAAAGTAAAGATTCTTCCTTCTGCGGATAGGTATAGTGCGCCAGAAATGAGTGACTTACAGAGGCTGAGTTTCCATTTATCGAACTAAGGTTGAGGAGAATTTCCTCGCGCGCTATGTTATTGAAATGAAACCCAGTGGGCGGGTCATTGAGAGAAAGGACTTCAATTGGTCTCCGACGAAGTTTAAACCGTTCAGGGAGGACCTGTTGCTTGCGATGAGGGATTAAACAAATCTCACCAAGACAACGGGTTTGAAAAAGATATCAGGCAACACGTGTGAAATCTTATCTTGCGGTAGCTTGTAACGGAATTTCCCCGTATCATGAGCTTTTGTCCAGAGATCAGAAAGTATTTGGTCAAACTGTAACAGGTGAAATAGTAAAGAAACATGAGCTCGTACCTTTGTCTGTCGTCCAGAAGCGCGTATGACGAAATCTAGTTGGTTGTAGTTGAATAACGTCATTCAGACAGTGATACACGGAGTACGCCTGTAACAGATTGGAAAAGTGTGAATAGGATCCCCATTCATCCCCCACTCAACAAATTATACGACAGTCTATTTTTCGAGCACAACTCATAAATTCTGACGTAAGAAGCTTTGAGATTTTACTGTTCAGGAGGGTGTCAATAAGACCAGAAACTGACCACGATTATAGGTTACTGCCGTTCCGATTTACGAGCAGAGCTTGGCTGTTGGTCGATAAAAAGAGCTAGCCTTCCTATGAGGATAACGTCTGTTGATCCAAAAAAATCAGATGTCAAGTTGGCTTAAAGGTGTGCACCATCCGCAACTTTACTTAAGCATTTACCCCTACCATGGCCTTGACTCCCGCGGTTCCCGTCGGTGATATGAGATCTGGTGACAACACAAAGCTCAGAACCATTGACATCATCACAATCGATAGCATAACGTCAGCGTTCAACACTGATACTTCGCCGCCGTACAACCAGGATTTATTAGAAAGCCTTATTGTGAAGAAAGGGATGGAAGCGGACAAAGAATGAGTTTAGTACTAGCCTAAAACAATTATTCCAAGCTGCCTACACCCCCAGACACTCATTCAGTCAATCTCAATAGAAACTGATAACAAGAACGCCACTGACATCGATTAACAGCCATGTGATGCAGCGTCTCCAATCAAGCACAGGGGGGACATTCTTCCACGGAAGTTCCCGCTGCAAAACCGAAGACCCGCTTTCTAACTGCCTCGTTACGGAATCGATGATACCAACCCACAGGAACTAATATTCTGAGACAAGGATTGTCGAACACCTGAAGACGTCTCAGTTCCGCTGCTCGAGCAGGCCAAGTCTCACAGCCATACAACAAGACAGTCCGTACCGTAGCCTGGTACACACGTCCCTTGAGATGCGGGCATATACCGTTTTGACGCCATAGGTATTTCGAATTAGCGAACGCGAACGCGAACCCAGTCTTGCAGATTCGTGTATTGACCTCATTTGTCACACTACAAATGCAACTTCCAAGCACAACCGACCGCAGTCAGGATAGACAAACGTGAACCAATCACGTGAGCTAAATTACAAAATAAACAAAGCCATAAGAAAATCTACTGTATGTACACAAATGTGAGCAAAGTAACAGTGATTAATTGTCGCTAAATGAATTTTGTGGTGTCCCATTCCAGATGATAGGGGCTGATAAACTGGTGACAACCGGCATAATTATGGTAGAGTGCCTGGCGAGCATCAGCAAACGGATTGACATTTTTCGCAGCGATGTAGCCCTCGATGCGTTTCTCGCAGTCGAGCAACTCTTGTGAGACGAAACGAGCTGGGAAGGGAAGTTTATCAGCCACGCGACTCAATACCCGGTAAGCTTCTTGCCAATCCAGGTATCCACCAAGTTCCACGATTATACGACCGGATCTGATGGGAGTGACGTAATGATGTATGTCGGCTGACAAATGAGAATAGTAAAGGACAATGGTCAGTGCACCGCTATAGTTTCAAGAATTATTTGGTAACTGAAGGAGCAAAAAAGGAACACTCAGGAAAAGATTCGCGCTGGTTGAAGTTGCAAGGCTAGATAATCAAATAAGTCTGTTCGCTGAGCTCGACAACTGCCTTGCAGTCACAGTTAAGCAATTTGTTGAGTGAAATTCTGACTCGAGTTGCAATACCCATAAAACTCAGACACTCATCAATAGATCGTGTTAGTAATGATAAATAATCGTTCATCTGAAACACTCTATCGCTGCCTAGCTGCCATGACACTGGGAGGAAGCACGAGGGCTAAGATAATGCCAACCAATATCTATGTGAATTCTCGTTGCACAAATATACAAACGCAGCACACAAAGCGATATTATCGATGAATTGTGAGACAAGGCTAGGCCCCCAGTAGAGAAGATGGAGCGAAGGAGTAGCATCCGCAAGCTTGAAGTGAAATACCTTCATACACTAAAGACATCAACTGCGTATTGCCACGATACGCGCACAAATGAAAATCACAAAAATGGGTTACAATGGGTTACAACGTGAAGTCAGCCATAAGGTTACTGACCAAGTGGCAGGGCCAAGTACAGGAACAAAAATGTGAATCCAGTAAACGGAAGTAAAGCGATAAAACGAAGAAGGTCCAGACACTGGTGCTTCATTTTTTGCCGAAAGAAGGGGTTAGCTGTGCAGCTGCATGAGGCTTAAACACATTGAGTCCTCATAGCGGAGTATACGAGTTTTACTATCTGAGAAGTGTCATTATCATCATTGGAAGCAACGCATGAGTAACTTAGCTGCCATACACAGAGTACACGTCGATAAGTGCGCACGCACTGATGGTATCACAGAGGTCCTCGAGTGTCGATTCGTGCACATGTACACTATATGACCTGCGTCTGAGAGTTGACGTCATGGAGGAACTATCATCGTTGTACGATCCCCAAAACTCTGTGGTCCAGCTGTGTTTCACGAAACTGATAGGATCGTACGATGAACAAGGACATGTGACGGTGATTCCTTGCTATCAACATTCAAATATCTACACATCCATGTGGACCTGGGCAGTCTACAACCATAATCCTTTCTAGCATGCACTCCATTTCAGATATAAGCGATGTCAGTCGGATACCACCATCGCACATGAGTTGCAAAAAACTGAAGTACATAGCGGACGGTTCAATGAGCATGTACGTGCAACATACAGAGTAGACGAGATAGGAAGCCACTAAACGATGAATATTTTGTCCCTCCACAAGTAAGTTGCCGTTGTCACTAAATGGGACTGACAGGAGATTCGAAAGCGGAAGGAAAGCCATATACAAGGCAAATAAACATCAGACGGTATATGGATGAACCAATACCTAGTCAGTCACGGTAAACAACGCATCTTACAGTTTTACAAAACAGAGGTCGAAAGGTGTTGTTGTTGAGACTAAGGAAAACGACTGAAACAGCGAGTTCAAGGTGGAACGGCAAAGTGGGAACTTACGCTTGCCGCCACCCATTCTTTTGCCTTGTGAGCGTTTCGTTTTCGCTTTCCACGGAGATTCGACGCCCCACACAGCAAACATACGCTTCTCATCCAGATGCCGGTTGATGGTGAGACGGAGCATCTCCAAATGACCAAACAACAATTCACCTCCATCAAGAGCCTGTGGCGCGGAAAAGTGGGAATGAAAAGTGATACTAAAACATTTTTAACGGCTTCTTAGCGAGTAATCTTCAAATTGCACCCCCACTGTCATTCGGACCTAGAAGGGAAATTACAATTCCGGCCAGCAGCTACCGGTGGTACATCCTCTCATCAAACAACTAGACGTCTCACCGAAAGTGTAGACATCCTCCTACTTATAAGATTGCTTAAAACTCTTCAATAACAGTCTTACGAGTAGTGTTACGTGCACACAATGCATTGCAACATCTCGAACGTCGTACCAACGGAAATATGAGGCTACCAGGCAGCTGAATAACATCATAAACAAGAGATTCAGCTGGGTGCCAGGAAAGTCTTTCATGAGCACCAAATTGGAATATGAATGAGTTTATCCGTGGACGTCATCGTGTTTCGCGTACTTAAGGGAATGCCAGGTGATAATCAGACACCACATCGGAGCTGGCCAAAAGTGGCAAGTGGTAGAAAGCAATCATTTGGTTGGTCGCTGCATGCCTACATATCCAAGGCCTTCAGAACCACAACAGTTGCCCACTACTTGAGACGCTAACTGAATGCATAGAATAAACACAGTCATCTTCCGGAGAGGTGACTATGGTGAGAACAAGCTCTAAAAGACTAAGTTGGGGCACTTCTACCGGGGAAGTGAATGTTTCCGATATTTCTGACGAATACAGTGAGTTCCAACCGAAGAAAAACTTAGGTACATTACACTGAGCTACATCGACCATGCAGATGCATAGCCAAGCAACTTGATAAACCAAGTCGACTAGACCAAGAAACAAGTCAGCGAGGACTCAGAAACGGGGCTGAACAAACGAGCTTTCGATCAAAAGCCTCCTTATCTAATCGAGGTGATACACTGACCTGTGTCAGCTGATGAAAGAATATGACATTTGGACTGATAATGTATCACATGAGTACGAACTCACTTGCACGCCATACTGCCCGTAACTAAGCTGGTTGCGCACCAGTTCTGGTCCGCGATAGTCAATCAAGTGACGAGCATGTTTCACCGGCTTAGTAGCTGTATTAATGTAAGGACTACGTTGGAGCGGATGAAGTCTCCGGCGTTCCGGTGGAAATTCAACAGCATCCAGTTCTCCTCTCACTTTCCATGGAACAAATGGATAATATTCCGATCGAAAATTCGACGATAGCCATCTAGTTGGCCGCGAACCGTTGCTGACAGCGAAGGTAGCAGGAAAAATGGACACGCGTTTTGGAAACCATTTTTTACACGCGTTCCTTAACAATGATGACTCCAGGAGCGTCAACATAGAGTCCAATGCTTCACAGCTCACTTAATTTAGGAAAATTGCGCAATGCCCTCTGACAAGCGTAAATAATGCCAAACTGCAAAGAAAGTAGGAAAATCAATCGCGTGAAAACTTAAGAATCACTTGCCATGAGCCATACTGCGCAAACTTTGTCAAAGTCGAAGAATAAGTTGCAAAAGTTTTCTCTATGACCATGACATAGGGATGGATAACCTCAAGTACCACACTCAAGCTCGGAGATCACTATTCCGCCAAGAAAAGATGGAGGGATCTCTCGGTAATGATTTTGAATGACTGATCGTTCTTTACACGAAGCATCCCACACGACCGAAAATCACCTATGCATTCAGTGTATTTTGTGGGTTGCTCCCGTCACTTAAGTTATCCAAAAAGGTCTAATATTGTCTGCCTACAGCACTACTACTACTGCTACTACAACACCTTCATTGGTCGACTGTTTCGATAGACTCACGACAACTGCGGGGATCGTGACAGATTTTACTTGGCTACGATCATTAACAGTATTTCTGTGCGAACTTGGTTGCATCAGTCTGGAAACAGGCTGCTCGGTTTGTAACACTCTTCGCAGCATTCAAGCCGAATTAGCAAAACTTGGAAGAATTGTGCTATTTCAAATCATTCAGATGTCATTTCAGAAAAAACAGTCGTGGCCTCGTGCTTATCTCGCCTTTGCCAGCTCCGTTCATCCATCGATGCTGAGCTCATCAAATGGCTTGCTACCAGAATACACGGTGTAACCCAGTCTACATAGTGCTGTATGTCTTCGAGAGCGTCCCAAAGTATGAGGACGGTCTAATGGTAGGAATGGCTGTTACAATTCACTTGTGGCGAATAAATAGCCATCCAAACCAATAGCAGTGGTACTAAGACGTGGTGAGCTCACAGAGCGTCGGCCTCTTTGCTGCAAAAGGCCGCAAATACCCTATGAAGGTGAACAGAGTCAGTGCGTGATGAAGTACAATTGCTAACACTCACCAACACTCGACTTCCATAGGATAACGACTGCTGAATGTACGATGCCGCAATTACCGTTCATCTATTCAAGATTCACGCTTCAAATTTGAAGCTTCTAAGCAGTCTGATCACTGGCTTTTTCCGTACAATCCAACCGTACAATATTCAAACTCAGAGAGGTATACAAGCCGGTCACTTGGTGAGAAGCTTATGACGAATGATCTCACCTATCTAGGTGTGGGAGCCCTCGCAGTACAACTATGACATACACAACTAACAATACTCTCATGCCACATCGGCCGTCGCGTGGTGTCAGCAGCCTTGCTTGCTGCATACAGCAGGGCGGGTAAGCGAAAACATGCTACTGCTGATGCCTCCCTTCTTACACTTTCACGTTTTCTGTCTTCCACCCTCCCCCGCCCGAATTTGAATACTTTCTCCGCAGGTCCTCTCTTCCAGGTTCCGACTGCGCACCTCTGGTGATGCAGAGGCCGCTGCAGCTGGATATGCTTGGGTGGGTATTGTATTGAGCGAACGAGCGAAAGCGTCTCTGCTTAATTGGATACCCGTTAATAGTCGCCTCTGCGCGGTTCGTTTGGCAACATCTGTGAGGGAATCTAGAGAAAGTGAGGTTCATCGCACCTTATTTACTGTGTCTGCTTACGCCACAACTGACTGTTGCTCTGAATCTGCCAAGGATAGTTTCTATGACGCTCTATGTGCCCTTCTACAGCAGGCTAGAAGCTCAGATATTGTTGTGGTTGTTGGTGATATGAACGCCCAGGTAGGTAGACTAAGCGCTGCTGAGGCCCGATTGGGTGGTGTTCTTGGTTTAGACACGAGACGCACGGACAACGGAGACCGGTTACTTCATGTGTGCCAATCACAGACTGTTCCTTTGCAGTACGAATTTCCGGAACGGCGGAAATCGCTTGACAACGTCGTGCCCACCACCAAACCAGCGCCGAATCCAAATAGACCACATCGCCGTCAGTTATCGGTGGCGAGGGTCGATCACCGCCTGCCGCTCCTTCTGGAACACCAGCGTGGACTCCGACCATGCACTTG